TGAATTTCTGAATGACAATTTCTGAATGCAAAAAGAAAGGAAGACGCAGAGTTGGCTATAAAACAGCTAAAAATTGGAGGGAGATTTCAGCTAGAGCTAGCTAGCTGTATGGGAAGTTGGCTATAAAAAAGCCAAAGAAAGGAATTATATTTATAGCTAACATTGACGCTAGAATATTCTAGACAAAATACAGCTAGACTCGCCTAGATCATACATACATATGTATATGTATGCATGTATGTATTTGTCGCATTTATGATCAGCTTTAAATGCGTTTTCTTATAGATTCTCTCAGCACGGTTTGATGAGCTTTTGTAGGTGCAATAAAATACATACATACATACATACATACATACATACATAATATAAATATATATGTAAATACCAGGTATATGGACAAGGTCACTCTAGAATATGGCATACGCTGCTAGAGCAGGAGGAGGGGAAGGCGCAAGGGCTTGGGTGGGTCTGTTAGCATTGCGAAAGCTGTGACGACTTAGTGAACGACAGGTAAATCTTTCTCCCTCCCTCTCTCTCTCTCTCTCGCACTCGGGTACAATGCGGCTCAGCTGAGCTCGTTGCAGTTGGGCTCAGCTCGCTTTGGTTGGCAACTCAATGGGTCTGCGACGCAGTTGGCAACGCGCGTCTTTCAATGCGCTTTCAATAACAAATTTAATTGTTGGCGGGCAAAGTGCAGGCACACGTTGTGGTAGGGAGCTGGATAGCGACAGAGAGAGAGACAGAGATAGAGAGAGAGAGAGAGAGACAGACGGGGCGACACTGGGGCTCGGTTTTGGTTTGGTTTGGCTAATTACAGCTAAGCAGCTGTGTGACAACAACAACAGCCACAACAACAAAGTGTTGGGCAATTAGCAGCCACAATTAGCCCCACAAGCCACTAAGCGAGCATTCATGTAGATTAGATGTGAAAAGCCGGAAAACTAATCGAAATTCTGAATCCGAATCTGAATCCTTGCAGATGACGCCAATGAACCAAATGCAGAGCATGTCCATGGGCCCGGGCGGTGGAATGCCCGGCATGCAGCAGCAAATGGGCGCCATGAATCCCATGGCCAAGATGCAGGGCATGGCCAACGGCGGCTATCCGCAGCAGCAGCCGCCGCAGCAGCAGCAGCGCCGCATGGCGCCCTATCCCCATCCGCAGATGCACATGGCCCAGAAGCGCGCCGGCGCTGGCGTTGGCGTTGGCGGCATGTATCCCAGTCCTGCACAGCAACAGCAGCAGCCGCCGCAAATGTACGGCGGACAGCAGATGCATCCCGGTGCCGGCAGCGGCTCCGGTGTGCCCGGTGTGCCACTGCCCATGCAGGCGGGCGCCGGCAATGGCTATGGACGCGGCGGTCCGGCGGGCGCCGGCGCTGGCGCAGGCGCCTACGGGCGCATTTCGGCCGGCAACGGGCCAGTAATGGGTCCCGGCGGTGGCCCCATGATGCCCATGGGCGGAGCCGGCATGGGACCGGGTCCCGGCTGCATGGGCCAGCAGCGCTTTGTGCCGCAGCCAGGTGGCGCGGGCGTTGGCTACGCGCAACAATCGCAATTCTATCCCGGCGGAAATGGCGGCGCCATGGGCGTGGGCGCCGGCCAAGGCGGCATGTGCCCGGCTGGACCGGGCGCCGTTGCCAGCACCGGCAATCCCTATCAGAATCAAGGGTAAGCAGACGACACTGCCAGCTGGCCAATGATGCAGTGGCTCATTTCCGATTTTTCCATTGCAGTTTCCAGCAAAACTATCAGCACAGTCCAGTTCCTGGCAATCCGACGCCGCCGCTGACGCCTGCCTGCAGCGTGCCCTATGTCAGCCCCAATCCGGACATCAAGCCGCCAATGGATAGCAGTAAGTCCATACCCAGTTGCACACTCCTAGAGCACCCACTAATCCCCAACTCGTTGCAGGCGAAGAGATGAGACTGACATTCCCGGTGCGCGATGGCATCATCTTGCCACCGTTCCGCCTGCTTCACAATCTCTCGGTCAGCAATCACGTGTTCCATCTGAAACAGAATGTTTACAACACGCTGATGTGCCGGTAAGTATATATCTAAGCAAATGCAATCCTCGCCAGAAACTAACTATCTCCCTCTCTCTCCCTCTCTCTCTTAGCTCCGATTTGGAGTTGCAGCTGAAATGCTTCCATCAGGACGATCGCCAGATGAACACCAATTGGCCGCACACGGTCACCGTCTCCGCCAATGCCACGCCCCTCAACATCGAGCGCTCCGAGAAGAACAGCACGGCGCTGCGTCCGCTCTACTTGAAGGCCGTTTGCCAACCGGGACGCAATACGCTCCAACTAACCGCCAGTTCCTGTTGTTGTGTAAGTGAATCAGAGTTGCATCCGAAGATCTATGGCATCCTTAGCTAACTGTCTCTCTCTTCTCCTTCTGCAGTCCCATCTGTTTGTGCTGCAACTAGTCCATCGACCATCGGTGCGCCAGGTGCTGCAGACGCTGCACAAGCGCAATCTATTGCCACTGGAGCACAGCGTGCAGAAGATCAAGCGCAACCTGAGCCTGCCCAGCGTGGGCGCGGACGGCGTGGCCACTGGCAACAGTCCGGACGCCGCCCAGCAGTGCGCCAAGATCTCATTGAAGTGCCCCATCACGAAGAGCCGAATACGGTTGCCGGCGCGCGGTCACGAGTGCAAGCACGTGCAATGCTTCGACCTGGAGGCGTATCTCATGATCAACAGCGAGCGCGGCTCCTGGCGCTGTCCGGAGTGCAGCAAGTCGGCCATCACAGACACCCTGGAGATCGATCAGTACATCTGGGCCATACTCAACACGCTGAGCACCTCCGACGTGGACGAGGTGATCATTGACTCGTCGGCCAATTGGCGGGCCCTGCAGCACAACGGCGGCATGCCGAATGCGCCACAGTCGGGCGCACCGCCGGGCAGTGCTGTGGCCGCCGCCGGCACAAATGGCAGCGCCAACAGCAACGGCAACAACGGCACCAGCAGCAACAACAACAGCAACAGCAGCAGCAGCAACAACAACAGTTTGCCAGCTATCAAGCAGGAGCTGTGCGACGACATTGCCAAGGTGATGTCGCCGGGCTCCACGCAGCTGCCCACCTGGGACAACTCGCAGGCCATGAGTCCCTACAACATGCACGACATGAATTCCATTGCCAACGGCAACATGATGGGCAACAACAACGCAGCCAACGGGGCACAGCTGTAAGTACTCAAAGAGGAAGGAAATCCGCTTCAAGCAGTCGCTCACCTTCTCTCTCTCTCTCTCTCTCTCTCTCCTTTGCAGTGGCAATCGCAGCAGCTATGATAGCTTCAATGGCAGCCACAGCGACAACAACAGCCTGGCCAACAGCGATGGGGTCAACTCGTTGGATCAGCTCAATGCCATGGAGAAATCACTGAGCGATCAGGTGAGTTCACAGCAAGCAAAAGCAAACGCTCAAATGACTAATCCTCTCTCTCTCTCTCTCTCTCTCTCTGTATAGATGCCACACACGCCGCATACGCCGCACACACCTGGCGCTGCCAGCCATCCCATGACACCTGGTGGTCCGCCCAGCGTCAGCTCCTCCCACAATGAGCCCATTAGCGGCGGCACGCCCAATGCCTCCAATGGCGGCAACAATGCCAACAACAACAACAGCACTGGACACAATTCACCACAGACGCCGGGCACGCCCAGCCGCAGCCTGGGCAGCAGCACCAGCATGTCCAACACGGACAGCCAGCAGCAACAGCAACAGCAGCAGCAGCAGCAATCCCAGCAGGAGCAACTGCTCAACTCGCTGATGAGCAGCCAGGCGCAGCTGAAGTTCGAGAACGATTTGAGTGCGGATCTACAGAACTTTGATCCCACCGCTGCCGGACTCGATAATACCGGACACGATTTGAATGTAAGTAGCAAGATAAGAGTGGATTAGAACTGAGTTAGAAAGTGTAGAGCAATGAGAGTTGGAGAAGGCAACGAATGCCTAGCGAATGAATGTTGAGCAACTAGTGTTGAGTAATGAGTGTTGAGTAAGGAGTAATTAGCGGCAAGCATCTCTCCAATGGAGAGACAGCTTAGCGAGTGAGCAACAGCCTCAACAAGTACTTAAGAAACGATAGCAGATTGTCTAGCATAACTGCCCCACCCACTTTAAATAAGTATTAAATCAACCTGAAGCTAACCTCTCTCTTTGTTTTCTCTTTGCAGCTGTTGCAGGATATGGATCCAATGGAAATCTTATCGTACCTGGATCCGCAGCCAGATTTGAATACGCCACCGTCCAGTGGCAGCAGCAATAACAATGCTAGCGACGATTTGTTGGCCACGTTATTCGATTGAAGTGTGCGCCAGTGTTGCGCAACGCCTGTGGTTGTAGTTGACAATTTATGAGAGAAGCATGATTGAGAAATTCCTTAACAAAGAAATGAAATGAAAGTGAAAAGAATTATAAAAATGAAATGGATTCAAACCATATTTGTATATAGTATTATTAATTTTAATGAATTGTGCGCTATAGTGAGACGCATAGTTCACAACAAAGAAAACAAAAACCGATTTCGTTTCCTCACACACACATGTATACACACATACACACACACACACACACAACAACACAAAATCGAAGCAGCAAATGCAAAAAATTTTGAATTTGCAGTGTTGAAAAACAATGAAATGTGATTTAAAAATTAATTAATTAAATTAATTGGCATTTAATTTAAAGCATAAAAGAAAACCAACAGCAACAACAACAAAAACTAAACAAGTAACAACAACAACAACAAACAGTCATTATACCGTTAAAAACAATTCAGTTTGAGAGCAAAAACAAGAAAAGAAATTCCTTCAATGAAATTTACGAATTTAACTAAAAGGAAAACTTTTATTTTTAATATCATTTTTTTCTCGTTTATTGAAAAGAAGAAGAACACAATGTAAGCAACCTTTTTTGATTTACATTTTCCTATGTGAAATCTATTTCTTGTTTATTGTACAAAGTATTAAAAAGAAAAAAAAAAGAAAATTAAAAAACAAACTACAACAGAAATGAAAAAAAAGCAAAGGGAAGCATGAGCAAACAAAAACAAAAAGAAAAACATGAATGAAAATGAGCATAAAAATCCCAACAATTTTATTACATTTATAAAATGAAAAACATTTACATTTTAATTGTTGCATAATTTTAATTATTTTTTAAAGCCTATAAAATAAAATGATTTAACATAAACATAAATTTAACGACAACAAATATATATATATAACAAATACAGCAACAGCAAAAATTTAATTGTAAAAATTAAAAATATATAATTATATATCTTAAGGCAGTTTAGAGAGCGCAAACAAACTATTAAAAATTTAAATCAAATTTAATGCTAGAACTTAAATATAAATATTAAAATAAAATATATAAAAAACAACAACTTGTATATATCGGATATGTATGTTATATGCGGCAACAACACAAAAAAAAAAATAATTAATACATATAAATAAAAAAATACATATATATATACAAAAAAGTATTGTTTAAAAACAATTTGAGTTTGGTTTTATTTTGCTTTCAGTTTCGTTTTTTATTTAAACATTTTATTTAAACAAATTTTTTTTGATTTTTCAGTTTTTGCTGTGGTTAACATGGACCAATTTTTATACATATATATATATGCATATATATGATTATATATATGTATATATATACACCCACACACCGAACGATTTTTGAGCAGCATAACTAAAAAAAAAAGCGAAAACAAAAAAGTTATATGATAATTATCACAATTATGCATATATATAAACATATATTTAAAGCAAAAAAACAAGGAGAAAAAATATTAAAAAAATTTAAGAAATAGCAAAATTTTTAAGCGAATTAAATGCTTCTCGAGTCAACAAAAATAAATGCTTACAACAATTATTGCTAAACAAATCTCGTCAATGTGTTAGTTAAATGAATCTCAACTTTTCTCAATGTTATATCAAAAGCAAAACAAAAAAACAAACCATATGCTAAATTATTATATAATGCTTATCGTATTCTTATTGATAAAAACTAAAAAAAGTAAAAACAAAAGCCCCATAAGATATATAAACAAAAGAAAAAACAAAAAAAAATTGTAGTGGTTTCATTGTAAAACAATATTTCATAAATTTGCGAATAGCTTCGACATTTTTCTCGCTTCTACGAAAAAAAGAAACTTAACAAAAACGAACACAGATATTTGCAAAATGAAAATCTTAAGAAAACAAAACAAAACTTTAAAATCTAACAGCTCGGTCACTTTGCGCGGTGCATAGCTAACAGCGCTGCCAGATCGTTGCGATGCGTATGTTGCTTATGTGCTGCGAGAAAGTGAACGACAGTTCATTGGAACCGGTTCGGGGTCAGTTTAAGGCCATGGAATATGCGCAAATGTGATTTTATTCAAAATAAAATACACATAAAACAAAACAAAAACACAACAAAAAATAAAAGATACATTATTACAATTAATGACATTTTTATTGAATCGGCATCGGCTGAGAGTGTGTGTGAATGGGAGAGTGTACATACGAGTATTTATCTAAAATAATACATAATTGATATATATGTATATGTATATGTATATGTATATATATAATTATATATATACATATATATATATTTAATGCTAGCGTTTAAGTTGTAATTTTAAATGATGAAACAAAAGCAAATACACAATTAAATAATATGAAATTAAATGGGGATTGCTTTCGATTCAAGTTTTCAGTTCCAACGGCTCTTCTTGGCGCGCTTCACATCCACATTGCTGCCTGGGGCGGAGGATGTGGAGGAGTTGCCGCCTGCTGTTGGCGGCGGAGGTGGCGGTGCGGCAAAGACGCCCGTCTCGGGCACTGTCTTTTCCCAGGTGCGATCGCTGGAAGCGCGAAACTGTGAGGAGTATTGCGAGCGGAAGGCTTGACGCATGGCCGAATAGCGATCCGTGGCGGGTCCACTGCCAGACAGCGACTTAGAGGACTCGCCCAGAGGGCCTTTGTTTTTTGATACGCCACTGGATGCACCACCAGCTCCTCCACTTCCGCCGCCCGCATTGCCTGAGCGTTCACGATAGCCCAGACCCATGAAATTGTTGGCGGGCTTCCGTCCCTTGCCCTGCTTGAAGCGAGAGCTGCGGAACCAGGAGCTCTTCATGGCCAGCTCCATTAGATCGTCGGGCACCGTTTGATCGGCACCTTCCAGATTGCGCACCAGATGCCCAGCAAACTCCTTGTCCTTGTCGGTGACCAGGGTGTAGGCGTTGCCCTTCTCGCCAGCGCGGCCCGTGCGGCCAATGCGATGCGTGTGCGTGTCAATGTCCCGGGCAATGTCGTAGTTGACCACGTTGCGTATGTGGGGAATGTCGAGGCCACGGGCGGCCACATCGGTGGCCACCAGGATGTCACATTCCTTGCGCTTGAACTGCGTGATGACCTTGTTGCGGTCCGCCTGGTCCATGTCGCCGTGCAGGAGCAGGCAGTTGTACTCCTTCACCAGCAGATTGTTGGCCACCGTCTCGGCGTCCGCCTTCTTGGTGACAAAGACGAGGACAGCGCCCTCAGAGAGGAACTTCACCAGATGGCAGAGCAGCCAGTTCCACTTTTGCAAAGGATTGGGAAACACGTAAACATGCTGTGTAATGTCCTGGTTGGCCTCGTTCAGATCGCCCTGGACAATGCGCACCGGATCTGTGAGAATATCGCGAGCCAGACGCTCGATGCGTTTCTTGAACGTGGCCGAGAAGAGCAGCGTCTGTCGATCCGGGCGCACATGGTTGCAAATGGAGCGCACCTGCGGCTCGAAGCCCATGTGGAACATGCGGTCCGCCTCGTCCAGCACGAGAAAGGTGACGCGCCTCAAGTTGGTGGCCTTCATTTTGACCATGTCGATCATGCGACCGGGTGTGGCCACCACAATCTCACAGCCCTGCTCCAGTGCCTTGCTCTGCTCCCACTTGGAGCCGCCGCCGTAGCAGCAGACCACGTTTATGTTGTACACCTTGCCGAACTTTTTGGCCTCGTTGTAGATCTGGAGCGAGAGCTCGCGCGTGGGCGCCAAAATCAGCCCAATTGGTCCGTCTCCCGCACGGAGCTCGCGCTGATCCATGAGATGGGTGAGCAGCGGCCAAATGAACGCTGCCGTCTTGCCGGAGCCCGTCTTGGCAATGCCGATGATGTCGCGCCCGGACAGAGCGGCGGGCACCGCCTGTGCCTGAATGGGCGTGGGCTGTGTGTACTCCGCCTTGCGCACAGCCTTCAGTAGCTGTTCGTCGAACCCGAAGTGGGCGAAGGAGGTAACTGGTTTGGGGGGCTGGGCGCCGCTCACCTTGACGCCCAGCGTGTGGCGCAACTCGCGCACCTGCTCCTCGTTCAGCTGGGCGATGTCCTCGTGCGGCGTATAGAAATTGCGCTCGAAGGGCTCATACTCGATCTCGGAGTGATAGATGGGCGGCAGGGGATCGATATCCTTCTTTTTGGGTGGAGCTATTGGATTGCCATCCTCATCGTAGTCGATCTCCTGATCGGAGCCTTCGTCGCGCAAGCCGGCATTGGGATTCTCTTCCATGTAGCGGTAGTAGCTCTCCTCGTCGTCCTCATCATCGATGTCGCCGCGCACCCCCTTCTTCTCCAGGGGTGTTATATTTGTCTTTTGCTGCGGATCTGTGGCACGTACTTTCTCCTTTTCCACCTGCTGTTTGATGCCAGCCATGAACTGTTCCAGCGGATCCTCGTCCGAATCCGAGTCGTTCTTGGCTGGCGCACCCGGAGATCCGGGCGCTGGTATATACGCTTGCTCCGGCGGGGCTTTCTGCGGTGGCTCGTCGTCGTCGTCGAAGTAATCGTCGTCCATGTGTTGCTTGCGCTTGCCCACGAAATTGGTAGAGTTTGTGTACTGGCTGATGGACTCCAGTGTCGAATAGCCATGTTTTGATGTGTTGCTGGCTGTAGCAGCTGCAGCTGCGCCACCTCTCGACTGATTGAAGCTAAATCGAAATCCACCGCCTCCACGATTGTTGCTTAATGCCGGCGGCGGCGGCACTGCGCTCATATTGTTGCCTGCGCCAGGTTGTTTCTTGTAGGGGAAGCCGCCGCCTCCGATGCCACGGTAGTTGCTCATGGCTGCAGTGGTTCCTAATTTGCTCTTGCTCTTTTCGAATAAAGCACCAATCAATACAACATACGCGAGAATAGAATTTGCAAAATACACATTGTTGCCAACCTAATTAGACTTGTCATTATCCAGCACTGAGCCAAAGAGTGTTTAGAGTGTTAACGATTAATCGCCGATAGTTAATGAATTTTTCACTTTTCAGCAAAAATGATGTTATTTTACAATTCATTACTGCTTTGAAATATTTGCACGCCAATTAATATAATTTGTTTAATTGTTTACTGTTTAGTAAGTTTATTCGGAGTGCAGTGCTGTCAATTGTCAATTTACAATCGATTATTCATTTTTGAGTTATCGAAATTGCGTTTTGTTGATATTTTGTCTGTTGGCAGCAACAGATGATAAGAGGAAAAAATGGTTGAACAAGCGGCTGAGGATTATGCTAAAATTATACAAAGTGCCGATCTGGAAAAGGAAGTATGTAGACACTTAAATAACAAAGATTTCAACTGGTGATAGCTCACCTCTATCAATCTACAGATAACTCCACTATGCAACAACATAGACGACATGCTCGCACGACTGGACGAATTCGAAACGGTTTTGGCCTCCGTATGTGTAAATTGAAAACTTAAATAGCGTAATACAATTATTAATATATAATAGGTACGGGCAGAGTCTAATGGCATTATGGCCAACCATGTATGCAGCATACTCAGCTTCAGCGCCAACTTCGATGAATTGCGTCAGCGAATCGACAAATTAGACACGTTTGTGGCCACGGTAAATGAGAACCTGAATGAAGTGGAGAGATCTGTAGATGTGGCAGAGCAGGAGCTCAATGTAACCGACTACAGTATAAAAGGACTGCTATTAAAACCCCTGAAGGCTAGGCTATCCACCACAGACACATATGGTGCAACGCCCAAATCGAATTTGATCGATGGCGAGTTCCAAGCGGTTCCCATCTTCAAATCCGATGAATACTTTGGCATTAGGGCAGAGGAAGCCAATACTAGTGACTCTGTATAAACTTTTAGTAGTTATTTAGTTATTAATTAGCAAATGGGTTTTGTGAGCGTGTAAATATTATCGTTTCTATTTATTTATATTTCTTGAGTTGTTTGCTTCCATTCGTAACATGACGAGCCAATTAGCGGGCTTGCATATAAATTCAGCGGGTCGAACGGGCATCGTGACTTAGACCTTGCCCTCCTTGCTTTCATCGCTCTCCTTGCTTTCCTTATTCTCAGCAGAGCTGGCGGCGGGTTGGGACTTGGGTTTGCTGAAGAGCTCTGCAACGGGCACTGGACGATGACGCAGTGGACCGTCTGGTCTGCTGGTGCTAGTTTCCTCCACCTGGGGCTTCTCCTTTTCCTTTTCCTCTTTGGGAGCGCTTGTGGTCTTCACCTGTGTCGGCACGGGTATGTCACGAGCATGACGAGCGCTCTTTTGTGGCTCATCATGGGCAATTACGATTGAGGCAGGCTTTGGATCGCTAACTACTTCTGGATTAATCGGACTGGGCCGGTCGAGACCACTTGAGTGATGGAGGTTACCATCGTGCTGCAGTAATCCGAGCGCCACAATGCTGTGAGGTTTCTGTGAGACATTAGGCGGATGCTCCGTAGGAGCTGCACAGCAAACTGCCCACAAGGCCACAAAAATCAACTGTAAAAATATTTAAATTGGTAATGGGCTTGGAAAAAAATCGCTTTAGCGACTTACGAATTTCCTCATTGTTCCGAACTGTAGTAAAGTTAGTTGCCTACTGTGGGATTTGCTACATTGCGCGGTGCATTATATGGATGCGGATCTCTCCAGACGGGAGCGGCAGTGCGATGTTTGACAAAGCTGTTAACTAGTTCGTAAACTGGTGATAATTACCTTAAAGTTTCTATATCAATATTATTGTGTTGGTTTGTTTATACACAATATTTTTACTCATTGATACTAAATCGATAGAGCTGGATAATTAAAAGCCGCAAAAAATCACCGTAGTCTCCACTGACACAGATATGTATATATATAACTTGTTATCATGTATATACATATGTTTATATATTATATAAACGTGTCAGATTTGACTTCCAATCAAATGTGGCCCAAGGCGGAGAGCTCTTGTCAGGCGGCTAGAATGTAATGATTATACATATGTATAATGCATATATGTATAGTGTAAATATATTGGTATTGACCAGGTAGTAGAGGCTTAGATACCCGATATATATTAGTCATCTATATTTAGCACCTTGTTGTGAAAAAGTTGAGTTGGGATTCGGTTTGTCTAATGGGTGCAAATACTCGGAGAGATTAATTAAAGTGTACATAAATATAAATGTAAAACGTTTTTTTAATTGCCGTGCTTTACGTAAGACGATTATAATCATTTTCTGGAAATTTTTTAATTGTATAAATGCCAAATGTCAATTTCTATTGCTACAGGCCGATTTATGTGGCTAAATTAACAATTCAAAATGATAAACGTTATAGAGCAACCAGTGTGTGCCCACAGAATTTGAGCATAAATGTTCTATGGCAAATTGTGTTTATTATGTAGACAACAGGAGTGTACGCACTGTTCGCAAGCATTGTGCAAATTTATAGTTGACTAAATACAATAATAATAGTGAAGTACGCAAATTAGCTGTAAATAATAGTAATAATGCCAACAGAAATTGAGAATATAAATCCAAGCGTTTATGGCAAAATCAAGGAGCGCTTGATAACAGCTAACGAAGAGAACGACAGCGTTGCGGATCCCTTTGACAAGCGTGAGATCTTTGGTGAGCATATCAGACACTTGGACAATTATCATTTTTTTGTTTATCAACGATTTCTCAGAACAGATCTCATACGAAACATCAATGATCCTGAGCATCCGCTCACATTAGAAGAGCTGCATGTCGTACAAGAGGAACTCATAAGCATCAGCGACAAACAGAATTCGGTACACATCAACTTCACGCCCACGATTCCCCATTGCTCGATGGCGACGCTGATAGGTCTCTCCATACGGGTGAAGCTGTTGCGATCGCTGCCTCCGCGCTTTAAGGTTACTGTCGAGATAACGCCGGGCACGCACGCCTCTGAATTCGCTGTGAACAAACAGCTAGCAGACAAGGAACGGGTCGCAGCGGCACTGGAGAACAAGCATCTAGCCGAAGTCATAAATCAATGCATTTCGGCCAAGGGTTAACTTCGTTTCTGTATTTATTTGTTTTAATAGAAAATAGATTATAATTTAGCATATACATATGCTTCAACTTCTGATGAAACTACTATATCTAACATTAACAACGAGCGCCACGGCCGAAAGGGCTACAACTAATGCTTGGAACTGGACTTTAGGTTACTTGTGACCTGTGTTTCGATTTGATTGGGATTTGAATTTGGATTGACTGGGCTTGAATGCGGCTTAGTGGGATCATACTTGAATGTCTTTACCAGCGGACCTTTGCCGGCCTTGGCAAAGCGTATCTCGTCCAATCGCTGACGCTCCTCGATCTCTTTGGTGATCTTCATGTTATCCCAGGCTAAAAGAGTACAAATTTAGTTTCATTAAAATTCACTTTGGGCTCGATTTGATTTAACTTACATTCCTTCATGCCCCCCACAAAGCCCTTCTTTTTGGCTGGCAGTGCACTGGGCGGATGGGAGACCATTTTCTCGATCTTGAAGTAATCCCGCACCGCGGGAATACGCAACAGGGCCACCTGCCCGAGCGAGATGAAGTTGCTGCAGGCCCAGTACGTTAGAATGGCGGCAGGGAAGTTCATGGTGAATGGGAATATGACAATGGGCAAGGCGCGTAGCACGTACTTCATGGTGTTCATATTTGCAGCCGACAGACGGGCGCTGTCAGTGCCCAGTTCAATGGTGAGGTAGAGCGTGGCACTGGTTATAACCGGCAGCAGATAGTATGGATCGGCCAGAGTGAGATCGGTGAACCAGAAGAGGCCACCGTCACGCATCGATTCGACTGGTGTATTGGCCATCTGACGCAGACCCATAAAGAAGGAGATGAAGAGAGGTGCCTGAGCCAATGGCACAATCATATTCTTGAGAGGATTGACGCCCTTTTCTCGCATGAACAACATCATCTCCTGCGCATACCGGGCCGATTCGATGGCATTACCCGACTGTCGAGCCTCTGTCATCTTCAGCTGCAATACCTGCATCTGTGGCATGTTGTTGCTCATTTTGGCAGAGTTACGCTGTGCCAGTATGACCAGAGGGAAGATTAACGTGCGCACGCAGAGCGTTCCTATGGCAATGGCGCCCCACCAGGGAATGTCCCATGTACAGTGCAAGAACTCCATACAGTTCTGAATCATGCCAGGCGGTGACCAGCCCCCTAGTCCGATTGAAGCAAACGACGGCTCGCCGGCTTCCATTAGGCTCTCCGGGACTAAATTAGCTGGCGGCGTTGGGGCCTCCGGAATGGCAGGCAGGTCCACAATTTCCTTGCTGGACACCGATTCAACAGGTACATCCTTCTGAGTGCTCGCAAAGCGTATTGTGCCAGGCGCCGAGGCATAGAGAGGGATCAGAGGTGCAGCAATTATGCGGTTGCTTAGCTGGTTGCTCCAACTGCTGCTCAGGTGCATGTCGCGACTACTGCTACCTAAAGAGAATATCTGCAAAGAGTTTCCTCTATACAATCCATGGATATTCATTGCCATTTCATTCATAACAAACCGCGCTTTACAGGTTATGTCATAGGAAGCTCGCAGGGAGATAGTCGCCGGCTGCTATTCCTACTTACCTGTGTAGAAGCTCTGTTGCATGTCGAGTTCAGAGTGAGCACCGCTTGGGTTGCCCTCCAAATTTGCATTCGTTTAGACATCATCTTTCAATTTTATTTGAACTTATAAATTTCTAAAAATGTACGCATTTACGCTTCGACGAGCAGAAAGGGATAGCAATTACGTTCGCTCACAGATGGTCAGTTCAGAACATATGTTGTGCCAGGGATGGGCTAACAATAAACTTTTGGACAATTTTTGGTACGCTTCAACTTCTGATTTAAATTTTAAAACAACTGAATTTGTTTTGATGGGTTAGACTTGTTTGCGTTGAGTTTGATCACAAACAAGCTGGCTCTGATCTTCTGCTCTTTATTCAGTATTATTTGATATAAATTGTGATTAAGGAATATCGTACTAAAAAATACCACAAATACTGAAAAACGGAAACCGTTAAATAATATATATTAAATAATATATCTCAAAATATATTAAAAATCTGCTTATAATTTATTTTGATGTATTACATATTTAAAATCAATATATTTTAAACTATACACATTTTGTTATCACTATTTATCGTAATAGTACGATTCTATTACGATTGCAAATCAAAATATTCAACAATTAGTTTTCGTTGTAACAAAACACAAATACTTGACTAAAAGGAAACGTGAAGTAATCTTTATATTAGCTAAATAGTGATAACAAAATGTGTATAGTTTAAAATATATTGATTTTAAATATTTAATACATCAAAATAAATGATAAACAGATTTTTAATATATTATGAGATATATTATTTAATATAAAAGCATAAAGGAATTTAACGTGCGCCTATAATTAAAGAACTGGTGGTATTTATTAATAAAAGTATATCAAAATTAATCATACGCATCGGATAACCGAGCACACGCAAAGAGAGAGCGCTGCTGCTGGAGCGACAGTTAAGTTGTTGCGCTCTTCTTGATCGTCAGCAACGAGCGATCGCCGATCGGTGGCTCTCTTAACTTCAGTCGTTTGTCGATGTCCGAGGCGAGCAGTTGTGGTGCGCACGCGTAGCACTTGCACACACAAATCGGGGAAGAAAGACAGACAGCAAGAAGAAGACAAGCACACTGAGCGGCCGACGGGTAAATTTGAAATTCTGTCAGTTTTCAGTTAGTCGCGAGCACTCCAGCCAATCGGTTAAGTTCGAAATTAACAAAATTGCACTTTTGTTGCATTGCAATTTGATTTGTTTTTTTCTTCGTCGTAATTTTTTTTTTGGCTGCCGCTGCAATAGCTGGTGCAGCCAACAAAAGTTCTTTGCGCAGCTGACGCTGCTGCTGCACTGCTGCTGCCGTCGTCGCCTGTCGCAGTTGCATTTTCAATAAACGCGTTTTCTTTTGGCACGTTGCGTGGGCGCCCCCCTGCCATGCGCCTGTCTGCCACGCGGAGCTCGTGTGTGTGCGTATGTGAGCGAGCGCGTGTGTGTGTCTGTGTTAGTTAATGTGTTTGTGTTGCTAATTAAAGCAACAACAACTGCAATTGCAATAGCAACAACAACAACAATAACAACTGCTAGAAACCAGAAACGATAACTTTGACGCAAGCCAAACAAAGTGCTATCGATAAATGCAATTAAGCTCATTCACAAATTGGAGCAGCAACAACAACAACGACAGCAACAACAGCAACAACGACAGCAACAAGTGCAACAGGTGTTGGGCTGCCTAGTTAAATACAATTTTTGTTTTTGTTTTGTGTGGTAAGTTTCCTATTTGGTTTTTATTATTATTTTTAATTGAAAACATATTATTGTTTGCCATCTTATTAGCGTTCAGCATCTGCTTGCATAAGTTGCCAGTTGAAATAATATTTATTGGCTCCGCGACGCGCTCCAACTAGATCAATTACGCGGAACAATAATTCCGATAAGAATTGCGTTGCCATCCCTCTCGCACCCACTGCACCAAATGCAGCTCATTAAATGCTTAAACTATTACAAAGAACTTGGTTTATGAGCTGACAGAGAGAGGTTGGTGGGGGACGTGGTGATTATGTGGAGCCCCGAGAAAATGAATATTCTTATCAATCGAAAAAAAAAAAAGGAAAACCAATTCCTATGAATGTATCATAAAATCTTTAATTTAAGCTAGTTACGTTGCTTGAATGACCTATTTCAATAGATTTATGATACGAGATTATATTTTATTTAGAACACTTTGAGTTTGTTAGTTATAATTAGCATACAATCGCTACTCTATCTATTAATATAATTGTTTATTTTCACAACGCGAATCCGCTTTATTCACTAGACAAACAATTAATTAACGTGCTGTTGGGCAAACATAATTCGTAATCGAGGTTCCATTTCTCAAGATCAGAGATTCGCCTTTGGGCAGTTCTTGATACGCAACGCCCCGCAGCGGCAATAGATAGCTGTGATATTTAACTGTTAGATCTTTGCCGATACAAATCAGATTCGACAACAACAGCAACAGCAACAACAACAACAGGTGGGGCGGCTACCTGGTTTGGCAATTCCGAGAAGTGCTTATGCTTAAGTTTATGATATATCAGATCCCGCGTTCCAGACAAAACTTCTTACGTCTGCTGGCCCCTGGGGGCAGCAAGTCTCAACGAGAAACGGGGCGGCTTAATTCCAATCGATTTCATGCTTTTTGCAAGACTTTTTCTCTCTCTCTCTCTCTCTCTTTCTTTTCCTTCTTTTTCGTTTTCTTTTGCTGTGCTTTTTTTTTGGCAAACAATTTAAAGTGTCAATTTGTGTTTATAAAACTAAAATTATTTATCAAGCCAAGCAAATCAAGTGGGCAGCGTAAACAGTTAGCAAAAAACGCAGGCTTTTATGTGTATATAGATATATTTATATATAAATTGATATATATAATATAGATATGTGTTTGTGTGTTAGGCAAATACTGCGTCCAAACGCGACCAAAAAACAAATAGTTATTTCTGACTTGGCCGCAAAGTCAATTGCCAAATATGGCGCACTTGTTTGTGTGTGGCTTAATGTCACACACACACACGCACATATATACATATACACACATTCAGCTGCGCAAGTTTAAACTCTCTGTCAATATCTAAGTTTTTGAAAAAGGAAATTCAACTACTTGTTTCGCCAAAAAGACAGCAGCGAAATAGTCACCAGCTTCGATAAATACTCACAGTTATATAGCTCTATATGTACGTATGTACAACATACCCTGGCTTCATAATGTCTAACATGGTATGCTGTTTTGATTGGAATATATGCAACAGGCACAGGGCAGACTTCAGCGATCCTCTAAGGAAAGAGATAAGTTATGTCTAGCTCCGACTCTTAGACTTCATGAAATATATTAAAATGTATATCAACTTGATGGAGATTACATTATTATAGTATTATTAACTCTTTGTAATTCAGAAATCATAATGTAAACTTTTAGGGCTATTATAGGGTATCTCTGAATCATTTCCCTTTGTTTAATTGTGATTTGGGCGCATAAATTTGTTTGCCAAATGAGTGCGCAGAGCTGCCTCTGAGTGGGTCTTAGAAGTTGCCCCAACTATATGTAGAAACGTTTCTCATTTCCATTTTGCTTTATTTATATTTTACACTTTGCTGACGAATCCATCTTAAATCGTTGACTATTGCATATGCGGATCGACAAAGCTCAATTAGATTCCAAACTATATGAAACAAAGGTAAATGTAGTAGACTCATAAAATATAATTAGAGTAAAATCAAAGTCTTTACTAAATATCTAACAGTTTTTTCTATTAGCTGAATTTTCATTAATTTACTTGTTAGATTATTTTCAATGTTCATAAAGTTGAAGATCTTATGTAAACAGTTTTGTATTAAAAAAAAATTAACTTCCAGATGACACCTCATTAAAACGAATTTAAATAAGCAAAACAGAAAAAAATTGACCAAGTGCTTAATGAATCAACTGCTCAATGAATCACACGACTTCAATTGTCAACGTTCGACAGGTTTCACTGTACACTATACACATGCTGATGCGCTATAGTTCTGTTGTACTATTTTGATATACCCTGTAGAGCTGCAAAGAGGTATATAGATTAAGGTAGGGGCTGTTGAGAAATTAGATAACAAATTATTAAAATGTTAGGTAAATATATTTATAAAAAAAATATAATATACATATAAATATAAATATTTTTGAAGCCAACTCTGTATATGTGAATTTTACTCAGGGTATCTTTCAGTCAGAATTTACATACTCTTTCTCCAGTTGTAACTTCATTTCAATATATTTTTTACACTTGCTGCTAGCTGTATGCCCTGTGGTTTGCATACGACTGTCGCGCTTTTTCTTTGTTTTACGTCAACAAACCAAATCGAGTAGACGACTTAAAAGCAACAACAACAACAACAACTGCAGCAGCAACAACAATTACTAATAAAATAGCTGGAACGCGTAATACGCTGGCCAACCTACAAAGACGTCGACGTTGGCGACGTTCTTTGCATTGGCAGCAGCAGCTGCTGCCGCTTAGAAACTAACCACACAGCAGCAACAACAGTCAACAGCAACAACAATCAACCAACACAAATGCAGCGTCTCAGTCGCTGTCGCTGTCGCAGTCGCAGTCGCTGCCGCTGCCAGAAGCCCAGCCGCTTATTTAATATGCAAATGAGCGCATAAAAGCAATTCATTGCAGGGGCAGGGCGCACAGAGAGTGAGAGAGAGAGAGAGAAAGAGAGAAGGAGAGAGAGGCGGGAGAGGGCGTCTTTTATTTGTTAAACAATAAATAAAAATGGCAAATGCAAAATATATATATGTAGACACACATACACACACACGCACACACAGAAATATAGCTGCAAGGTGGCTTAAGTATATAATTGTTATTCAGCTGCCGCTGAGGAGGATGCGCTCTTGGCAACCAAGTTGTTAGCCAAGTTAGCAGTGCTTTTGTTTTTGTTGCGCCCACGCTGAAGCGATTTGATGTGGCAATATAAGCGATAATTATGCGAGCGCATATGCGGCGTATGAGTAATTTTGTGTGCATGCAATTTGATGTTAGCGCCGACTGCGACGCCAACTGCGACGGCGACTGCGGCGTGTGTTGAAGTGTGCAAATTGCAAGAATTAATCGCTACACAGCCACACGAAACCACAAAAAGTAATAACAAATGTGGCCAGAACAAAAAAAAAAAAAAACAAGAACAGAGCAGAGTGAGCGAGAGCGCAATATGCATAGAGAGAAAGAGAGAGAGAGAGAGAAAAATTTAAAGCAATAAAATCAAATCCATGTAGCTTGACAAAAGCTGTGGGTGTTCTAGATGTCTGTGTGTGTGTGTGTGGTGCTCGTGGCTTGTTCTTGTTGCTGTTGTTGTTGTTGTTGTTGTAGTGGTGGTGCCCACGTTTAAAATTAATAATAAAGTACGCAGCAAGAACAACAACAACAATTGAAGAGTTGGCACTGAAACAGCAGCAAGAATTCACTTTTTTTGGAGCAGCAGCAGCAGCATCAGGCACCGCAATGAAGCGGGTGTGCACTCTACTTAATGCGCCCATCAAATAGCCATAAATCAGCTCATTTAAATGTGCACTTTGTGCCAGCACAAGTTGCTTGTGAAAGGTGTAATCGTCCGTAAATAACAATTGAGCAGCAGTCAAAAATCATTTCGGCTCCGCAACTAAGGAAGTGAAGAGCTAACCGAGTGACTCAGCAGTTAGTTAGTTTCATAGGAAAGAAGTGTGCTCTAGGCTCGCATGCAAATGAAATCATAATTCGATTGTCAGCTGGCTGTCTTGAGACGCCCACGTGGCTCAATTGATTCTAATCGCACAACGCGTCGTATGCGTAATGCCAAACGCTGACCCAAAGAGACGCCCACATCCGATGCGGGGAAGCAGCTAGGAAATAGCCCAAGACGTCAGCAGCTCACTACTTGTCGATTGTGTATTGTTGTTGCTGTTGTCTGATTGCTGTTTCAGTTGTTTGTCATGTCCATTTAAGCCTTGCCAATTTTGGCAAGTTGCTCGGCCACTTGGCTGATGATTTTACGCCTTTCAGTAACGCTCGCCGAGAGCGAAGCCATCGAGCGGTGAGCTCGGCCTGAGCTGTTTGAGACCGCCCATACGAATTGTTTCCCATATTAATTTATCATTTAGAAACGATTAATGTTATATAAAACAAATTCAGCTAATAATAGGAAGCGCTTTTCACGCTTTTTTTTTTAGCTAATTATTGGCTCTGGCTTGTTTGACTTTGTCCATTTGCCGACAGATACCCTGTAGTCGCTCAGCTTGCCTGCCTGACCTCTTCATACTCTGTTTGATTTTCCTGTGCACTTCCGCCATGCGGTTAGCCAACTTTCTAGGCAGCGTTTTGCCAATTTATTTTCCATGCCATTTCTAGGGCAGCTCTGGCCATATTCGACCATGAAACTGATTGCCTTGGCCCGCCTTGTCAACAGGTGAAATTTTTTATGCGCCCGCCTAATTTGCTCGTCGCGCCATTTTTGCATAATTTTTCAATATTCCACACACACACACACACAAAGATCGATTTGCATTCCCTCTAAAGCAAAATAGCCAAGAAATATAAATAATGTCGCAATATTATGTCAAATCAACGGCGAAGGCTGCCAAACACACAATTGAGCACAAATATGTGGAAGAAATACCCAGAAAAAAAAAAATAAAAAATCAAAACAAATAATTTAATGTTATTACCAATTCGCACACACAAATAAATTATACAATTAAATAAATGTATTTG